ATTTTCAAAGAGCCACTGCAGAGGGACCAAAGAGCCACATGTGGCCCCAGAGCCGCAGGTTGCAGACCCCTGCCCTAAACCTAATGACCCCAGTACATACGTAAGCCTAAACTTAGCCCTAAGCCTAACCCCCCATCCAAGAATGGAGTTCCAGAACATTAGGACCGGTCTTTGGTCCCTATAAGGACTACTGGTCCTGACAAGGTAGGTGTGTACTCCAGAAACGGTCCTAAAAGGTAACAAATACAAGTACACACACAGAGGTAATTACATTATTTCCTGCCATTACTGACAGCGAGAGATAATAACCACAGYTCTCACCGATAAAGATGACTCCTATGGCTCCTGCGTGTTGCAACCATCGAGCTTTTACAGCAAACATGCAGTCCCCTCGTAGTGCCAGAGCGACGCAGTCTTTCAGCTCCGCTGCATTTTCCACCGGCCCGCATGCATTAAAGGGGGACGCTTTCACTATTCTGCCCTTCACCTGTGGAACAGCAGTTTGTTTTTATGTTTGCTTGAGATGAAAGTTTGTGAAATGACGGCATGTTTCAGAAAATAGGACAAAAAGAATTAGAAACAGAAACCATTTGTGTAATTAAAAAAAAATCCTGTTATAAGAATTTTTAATTTTATCTTAGATCTTCCTAATCTTTGGTGTCAGTGCTGTGTTGAATCTCACCCCGTGCTCCTGCTTGGTGAGGTCCATTCCGAACTTCGCCGGTCCTGCAGCGAGGACTGTCCGACCCAGAAACGGAGGGGAAATGAGCTGGACAGCGTGAGGCACCACCTCCTCCTCCTCCTCCTCCGGCGTCTGTCTGACTTCTGCGACAAGCTTCACCCGAAACACGCCTTTCTGTTCCTGTCGGTGATTCGGCCAGACAAGATCGTAAARAATAATTTGAGTCCATTATTTCCCAACATGCCAAATTTAAAGAAGTGCATTCATTAACTTGTCCTAAAGTTTATTAAATTAAACTTTGCTTTTATGCCACTGCTTAATAATGTTTCCTCTCCCCCATTTTATGATAAACTTCATATCTCTTGTCCTCAAATGTTAGACAGTAATTATCAAAACAGGAAGAAAAGGARTTTGGCTCAGATCTTGGATGTTGTTAACAAAGTTTGTGTAATGCACAGTAACACAAGGAGAGTACAAATATCTAAAAGCACCTTTTTGGCATCTCCTACAGTCATCTCTTTCAGAGAGGTGAGYGAGATGCCCATGCTCTTCAGAAACTCCACAGACTCCATGCTGTTATCATGAAGCGGCAGTTCGATTTCCCTGTGAAGCATTAAACGCAATATTTGCTACAAATGAAGCGTTAAGTAAGGCAAAGATTATTAGCGTGTTTTTAGAACCAGTCCCACCTGACAGGTAAAGAGTTGAAGGCCCGTCCCACCCCAGTGAGGTACTTGTAGCCGTCCCTGATGGTTTTGGCAAACGAGGGGTTGTTGGGGAACAACGTCTCTGTGCTGGGACAGGAGTGCGTAAACAGGTCGTCATCTTGAGCAGCAGGGGCCGCCTCCTGAAGTACAAGTACATAAATACTTTGCTAACATTTTGTCTGTCCGTTTGTGTTTTTAAGCAGGGTGCATTGTACGTGAAGCGCATGTTTGTTTACTGTGACGTTGGGCTGAACGGGGGTCTGAGTGATGGACAGGGACACGGGCAGAAGGTGAGCCTCTGTGGTGAAGACGTAGTCGTCGATATCAATCGGCAGCTGGCTCTTCTCCGAAAACATCAAGTACAAGTATTTAAACATCTCAGCCAGAAAGAAGGAGTCCATCCTGTCCAAAAACAAACACACACGTGTAAACGCAAAATAGACAGATAAGATTTTGTTTTCTCAGCTAAAGAAATGTGTGTTTTTAGCAGTTTGTCTCACACACTAACCTGTCTTCATGGGTCCCGGTGCGGACATCTTGGACAGCAGCAAACCCACAAGGCACCCTGGCATAGGCGTTGAGTTTCTCCACAATGGATTGTCCCACTCTGAGGTAGTACGGGTCACCGGTGGCCTGAACATATCAAAACCCAAGCTCACATCAATATCTTAAAAACGATCTCATCAGTATGGTGAGAAAGATGCTTTGTACGTGTGGTAGGAGAAGAGCAACTTCGTTTATTAGATTAAACCGTTTCTGAAGATGTTTACGATGAGAGATGCTCCATTTTAACTGGGATGTTTTGTACCTTGAAGAGGTAGTAGGTGCTTTCTGCAAACTCTGGTCTCAGTAGGTGTTGGCCCCAATGAACTCTGAACTCTGTGGTAAAAGCCTGCAGGAAAATTGATGAACAGATTTACAAAAACAGAAGGACATATGTGTCAAAGCTGTTCTTTGACTCTGCATAACATGACTTTAACCACTAATAAATTGAAGGATTGTATAAAATCATATAATACAAAGACTGATTTCATAACAAATATGATGTCAGCCTTTGTTGTTATAAGTTTTAAAAAGTTTGGTTTAAGTTTTATTTATTTATAAAGCACCCAGCAGCTCAAGGTGCTGTGCAAAATTACCAACAATAAATCCACAATATAAAAACAAACAATACCATTACTTCCCCAACATGAAATAAAAAAAATCACATGGAAAATGTGTACACTGAACAGAAATGATCCAGTTCAGGAAACGCAGTWTAAAAGACGGGTCTTAAGCTGACTCTTAAAAACAACAACATTCTCTGCAGCCCTCAGGTTCTCAGGCAAACCATTCCACAGACGAGGGTCGTAATACTGAAAAGAAGCCTCTCTCTGTGTGTGTTCTGACTCTTGGAACTGTTAATAGTCCAGTGCCAGAGAACCTTAGGGTCCACGGCGCTTCATCAGGTAATAGCAACTCCGCAAGATATGATGGCGCAAGACCATTAAGACATTTAAAAACCAATAAAAGAAACTTAATGACAAATATTTCATCTTTCCCTCCTATACGGCATTAAATTATTAAGCATTTTCTAAGCACATAATTCAATTCTTTACCACAATCGGCTGTAAAATGCTGTATATATCTTTGGCCTCCCCTCTGTCTCTTTAAGAACCTCCTACCGTTTCTGACACTCCCACTTCAGCACATCATCACAACACTGCTTCATGCCGTTTACAACGTTTCATAGGAGCGTTGCAAGAGGGTAGCCTCCAAGGCATACGCTTCCTGGATGAAGGCATTTTTTAATCTGAAAAGGACTGGACTGAGAAGGAGTTGGTATTACAAGCTGTGTGGGGAGGGGGCGGGAACTCGGCTGCAGACTGAGCTCCAGGGAGGAGCTTTGTGTAAATAGGCGGAGCTTTGTTTGCAAGAGTTTAGGCAGCTCCAAATGGCTACAGGAGATTCCAGGATTTCTCAAACGTGCATGAATGAGTCAAAGCAACACTCTGGGTATATTATTGATGAGGGACATTATAGCAGGATATAAAGCTCAAGAAACGTTGATTTTGCATAATACCCCCTTTAAATAAGGCAGAAATTGATAAGATTCTTTACCTCTGGAAGGAATTTGTGCTGTTTAGTGACTTGGTAAAGCATCTCGTGAGTTTCAATAGCTGGTTTCAGGTCTCCTGTCAAAACCTATTTAAACAATGATTAAATGACACTTTATTAAACAAGAGCTTCATTTTGATTAATGGAGTGCATCTCAATAAACAGTGCACCTGACCTGTAACCCAGGGAAGAATGCGAGCAGGGAGTCCATCCAGCTGCGAACACTCATAGTAGGGTTGTGCATGTGTACGTTGAGCAGCAGGGGAGGCTGACTGATGTATTTCATAATGGCACTGTAGTGCTGTTAACATGAAAAAMGCATCAGAATTATTGAGAAGTGTTCTCGGCTCAAAGGTCCGCAACATAAAATGACCAAGTGTGCACAAACGATAACGCAGTTAGTAAAAATAAATAAATAAAGCCGAGACCAAAATGTTAGAATGACTCACAATATTGAACCTCTGTAGAAAAACATTATCTCCTAAAAGAATGTAGGCCTTCATCAGGTATTCGTAGTACGAGTCGATTCCAGCGCCAACTCCACTATCTGCAAACAAAAAAAGGGAAAACTAATCAGTCCCATCATCAGCGGTTATCTCCTGTCTTTACTGACAGCTTCTTTACCTCTCCGGATCCATTCTCCATTGTGGATATTGATGACAGTCCCCACCAAGTCACTTCCTTTTTGTCTCTTCTCCCAGAGGACGTCCAGAGTCTTCCTCGCATGTTCCTGTAAAATGTTTATAAAACAAAATATATTTAAAATGTATTTTTTTTGTGGTTAAAAATCCATGCCGTATTCATTTTGTTATAAAAAGTTGTTCTTTCTACAGCAGAGTAAACTCATCTCACACCTCAGTAACTACACACACTGAAGCCCATAATAAACACAGAGAAAAACTCTGCTTAGAGGAAGGTAAATACCTCAAACACAGACTGACCCGACAGTCTGCTGAGAGCAGCAAACTCCAGGATCATTGTCCCGGCACACGCTGTGCAGGTGTCTGACTCAGTGCCTGTGCGTGAAAGTGGGTTGAATACGCCGTACCGCAGATTCACCTAACGAACAAAACACGTATACGATRAGCTCTAAACAGGAGGAAAATACAATCAATCCTTTCGCAACAAACATTTAGCTCCATCTCCATATATATTTAAAGACTACCTTAGGGTAGGGAAGGCCACTGGTCGTGTTGAAGGCAGGAAGTAATCGATGGCCCAGCTCTGTGGCCATCTGTAGAAGCTCATCACGATACCACTGCATCCTCTCCCCACGCTGCCTTAGCAGGTCAGCCATAACATGACCCCCCAGCAGCCCACTGGAAAAAACAACAACATTATTTTAATCAAAACATCCACTCAGTAAAAATGCAGCTACGCAATCAAATCAACTGAATGCACCGAAAATGTAAATGTGCGCTTCATACCCTAAAACTCTGATGTTGGTCTCGAACACCGACACCACCACGTCGTTGTCAAAGCGGACGTCCCTCACAGTCTTCCTCACCGCATCCTCAAACTCATCAAGCTTGTTTAACACCTGGACACACATGTGTGGCAAGAAATTTTTAATTACCAGGTAATAATAATAATAATAATAATAATAATAATAATAATAATAATAATAATTACAGTCTGGTGAGACAAACAAACTGGAACAAATTTTTCTTATGCTAGCAAAATATGGAAATATGGACTCACCACCAGGGTATCAAGTGTGTCAATTAGAGTGAGAGAAAACCTTCAGGAAAAAAAAAATTAATCGGAAATGTTTTGGTGTCAGTAATCAAAATAGAACATTCCTATCTGCCAGAAGCCGTAACACATTTAAAWTGTTATTTTGATAACATAATTAGATTAGATTAGACCTTTATTGTCATTGTACAGAGCACAAAGTGATGCTAAAGTGACCTGCCAAACTGTTCTTGAGAACACACTGTTAATAAATACGTGCATGTGGCTTTAATTTGAGCTCATATAAAACTAATTAAATTGCTTCACGAAAACCTTGCTAGATGTTTCACTGCACGAACTTCTTACTTCCCCAAGGAGTCGTCTATGTCCCCTCTGTTTGGCTCTTGTCCACGCACTCTTCCTTTGCAACTCAGAGGCATCAGCTCATCTGCCGGGTAGGCATGTTTCTGCAACGGCAGTTATTACACATTAACTGGACTGTTTCATGTAATCATAATTTGTCATCTATAGAAAACAGATGAAAGAAACTAGCATGGTAACATTTTTTATGCAGCCTAAATCTGACCCAGAATCAGAGGAGAATGAAATACAAATTGTAGTTAGTAAGTCCACACCTTATTTAGACGTTCTGTTGCAAACACTGTGACATAGTAGATCAGAAAATGTTATAGAAAATAGGGAAAACTGAAGGAGTTGAAAAATACGACCCAAACAGAATATATCTACGCAGAACAGAGACTAAATTAGACTTTTCTGCACTCTTAGAGACTCTAATTACACAACAAAATGTATTTAACAGGCAAAAAATTGGAATTTGTGTGATATTTTGTCCCCTTTAATTATTATAATGTCTATATCTATGACACACAGGACCACTAATAGTATCCTTTCATCTAAACAGTTGTTGACTCATCTTCCTCTGTGGAATGAAGCAACTAAAAAAATATATATATAGCCATAATCTTCACAAAGACAACCTTACCATGTAATTTCCATATGCGTGGTCAAACATTTCAACAATCTGGTGCCTGGGAAGCAAATATTCAAATATTCAAGAAGAAATTTGTGCAATTTGAAACACACAGTCACAGATAATTACACATATGTTGTGTTTGTTTTGAACAAACTTCACCTGATGTTGGTCTTCTCCTCCAGGGTCATGCTGTGGCTCTCCTGACAGCCTCCACAGCCGAGGAGACTGTTAATAATCAGAAGGGTCTCCAGGATCATGGTGRTACCAGATGAGTGGCCCAGTTCCCAAAGAGGTTTAAGTCTCCTCGTGGAGTCTTACATAAGATTAAAGGGAACCAATAARCCCCCCTGGCTCCGCGTCCAAACCGCCCACACTAAAGTCAAACCGCTCAGCTGATATTTGGAGCCCAGCTTATCCACTTGTTGGCACAGACATGGCACAGCTTTGGTTACCTACCCATTTCCATWTTCCAACTCTGTTTTTCTTCTGTTCTATCCAGTCTTGTTAGGACCACATCACGACAACAAACCCCTTCAGATGAAGGGAATCCATGTAAACAATGGAGGAAAAAAAGCTACAACTGACTGCTAACGTCTGCTCACTTGTAAAGCAAAGACAACTGACCAGAAAAAAAGGAGTAGCTAGAAAAAAAAACACACCTATGTAATTTAAGGAAGCTGCTAATAAAACACGACGTTGAAAAGGAGTGAGACGGTGGGGCTACAGCTGCTGGGAGTGTCTTTTCAGGCTAGCTATGCTAGTTAGCAAACAAGCTAACTCGTAAAGAAATAATGTGCTGGGGGAAAAAAATAATTCTGAACAAGGTATAAGTGCTTCCCTTGCCATGTAACGTCCATCCAAACAAGTAAATAGACAACAACACGATGCCGACAAGCCTGTCGGGTGCTCAGCTGTCAAACAACAGACGGTRCACTCCTGCCGGGGCGGGACGCGGGACTATTTTAACCCTCAGTTTGTCTTACAGGCAAAAMTCGCCACGTAAAATGTTTTCTCTTAGACAGCTTTATCTCCTTTTTCTTATTGTTTGTTCAATGAGTTGAATCTAAGATATTCTAATTTTGTATTAGCTCCATATTTGTGGTAATAGACCATCACTGTCGTCGTTRTTTATTACTTAGAAGTAGAGAAAATACCTTTACAGATTTGACTGAGGGACGAAACTCTTAGTTATTAACGTGACGTAACGAGCAGTGGTCACATGCTTGATGTGTATGGCAAGCCGTTTTAGTATAAAATTATTCACGACGCTAATGGTCCAGATTTCTGAAATTGACTAGTCATATTCATTATTTAAAATAGCTCTAATTATATTTTGACTAGTCAAAATATCTATTTGAGATATCTTTAATTACATATTGACTAGTCATAATTTATTTTTAAGATATCTTAAATTGGAATTATGACTAGACAGAATGTTAGATATCTTAAACTACCATTTAGGATAGTCAAAATGTAGTTGTTCGTAGCCAAAACTCATTTTTAAACATCTAGAATGTGATTACAGATAGTCAGACGAAACCGATTTCATACTAAAATGGCTTGCCAAAGTGTTTGTTTTTATGGCAAATATCACAAACTATTACGTTTACCACCAACCTATACATCTTTATAAAATATGTATTATCTCATACACCAGATAATAACTAATATATGGTGAAACATAAATCAGTTAAAATGGAAGCTTTTAATATTTAAAACTGCTTTCCACATAACTTTTTTATTACAATAGGTAGTTTATTAGTTTTATGGCAAAGAAATGCCCAATAAACTCTCAGATTATAAGTAATTTTCACTGCCTAGAACCTTGAAATCATTCACTGTTCGAACCACGTTACACCTGTATAACATTGTAATACTCTTAATTGTAAACTGTTTTTTTATTATTGTTTTATGACGCGTGATGCTGACCTCTTGGCCAGGTTACCCTTGGAAAATATATCTTGGTCTCAATGGGTTTCATCTGGTTAAATAAATGTGATTGAATTTAATTGTCTACCTGCATGTTTTAATTTGGCCACCAGATGTCGCCCTTGTCCAATTTTGGCTTGGATTTAATTTATTTGCGAGCAAATAAATTAAAACTGTTATCTACGTTGTCTTCAATGATGCTCCTGGTGATTAGGACTGCATCTTGTCCCTTTCCTCGAAAGAATGTGATTATTACTAATGGTGTTGTATGATAACAAACATGATAGCACAGGGCTTGACATCAAGAACTAACCATGCAATTTGCATAGTTTTGACTTGGATACTAGTGTTTTGATTTTTGTACACACCGTGCTGGTTCCCTAGAAGCAGAACGTGACGTGTTTAAAATGACCACATCATGTCAGTAATGAAGTGGAAAGATAAGATCAATGAAAAATATTTCTACATTTCCTTCCTCTCCTCCTCTCTGACTCATATCCGTGTCCCTGCCCTGAGAACAAACATCATTAGATTGGACCAAGTGAAAGTTAAAGTCTTCTAATTTTCAAATTGAAAAATTAGGTCAAATTTGTAATAAATTTATGGATATCAGATTAATAAAAAAAACTAGAAACAAAATTAAAACAACTGAATCATGAAAGGATTATCTTTTCATGCTTTTATTCTGAAAGAGACATTGAAACGACGCTTCTTCTCTGCACTTTCTAAACTCTGTTAAAACTGAGTTTTGTAAGTTTAAAAATGAGCTTGTAGTTTATAAATATTTTAGAGAAAAATGCCTTTCTGACAGCTCAGAGCTGCTCCTCATCAATGAGGAGGAGTTTTGATGATCCAGCCTCCTCCTGCCTCCTAAATGGGCGTTTTTCTTCCTCAACTTGTCTGAAAGGTGTGGCAGTTTMTGTTCGCTGTAAATTTCTCTTTCCAAACGACCGATCTTCTCTTCCAGGTAGGAACAAATGTTGTTTTCTGATTTTTATCGCTCTTATCCGCCTGTTCTCCATGTTTTGTTTAGTTAAGATGCGTGAGTTGTTTTCCCAGATTGGATTCGTCCATGTTTTTTTCTTTTCTTCCCCATGACGTAGTTCTATAGAAAATCAGGATATGTGACATTTTTCCCAAGATTTGCTCACAAATCCCTAATCAGTCGAGTATATGAGCAGCTCAACGAAAACTGGAGCAGTAAAATTGCTGATATTTTATGTTTCCTCCTCTTTTTGTAGTTTTAAGCCTTCTGTTCTGCAAAGATGTCTGCTTGGGTGAGTCTCTTTGAGAAAATAAACACATTTTCACACCAGATTTTAATACTGTGAATAATTGAAGCACATTTTGATGTGTTTCAGGATGACTTGGAGCTGCTCTTAGACTCCCCCTCCTCTCTGACTGTGACAGTAGGTTCTTCTATTTGACTTTTTATTCTGGTGTAAATGTTAGTTTTGACCATGACTGAGTGGATGATTATTTTTGCAGCCTAACACCAGAGGAACTGTGAAGGAGAAGGCAGGTTTCAAAGTGGAGGAAGATGTTGCTGCTCTTAGGAAGGCCATAGAGGGTCTCGGTGAGTTAATTAAAAACATTATTTTTATTATTATTATTACTGTATTATTAATGTCCACCTGGGCATCATCTCAAAACAAACAGCACAGTTTTATTAAAATCTTGGCATTAACAATTAGTCAACCCTACTTTACTAGACTAGATCACTTTTTGTCTTTACAGGTACAACAGAGAAGACCCTGATTGAGGTTCTGACCCAAAGGAACGATGCTCAGCGTCAGCTCATTGCCAGAGCTTATGAGAAARCCACAGGAAGGGTACATGACGGGACTTTTTATTAAATCATTATGAAAGACAAAAACTCAACCTAAAGTGAGAGTTTTCAAATTGTTTTATTTTGGAACTTCTCCATTAGAAATTGGTCGCTGACCTGGAGGGCGACACCCATGGAGACTTCGAGGACGTGCTGTTGGCTTTGGCAACGCCTCTTGCTGCCTTCGACTGTCATGAAGTTATGAAGGCCACAAAGGTGAGACTAAAGAAAGACTGGTCTTCAGGTGCGTCAGGGTCAAGATTTTTAGTAAGGTTTTTGTTTTGTACAGGGGACWTATCGTGCAAAATCCACATACTTTTTACCCTTAAATACATTTAGTTGTGTCCTTGCAGTCTCTAAAGTTGAATTTAGTCTCTCCTGGTGCTGTGTAAACATCTTTATGTTATGTTGATCGTCTTCATTCTCCTCTGGCTCCAACATGTAAGGCTGGATGGACAAGTCTTCCAATGTTGACAACTTTTAATTCATGTGTAAATGAAAAGTTTCTGCGCCGCTATCTAGCTGTAAAAAACTAGAATGAACCTCTCTGGAAGCTGGAGGGGGCGTGGTGCGAAGCAGGGGCTTGTTGAGTTACAATAAATAAGTAAGTAAAGTTTTATTTATATAGCGCCTTTCACAGAAATAAATTCACAAGGTGCTGTACATTCAGGGAAGTGGGGAGGGGGCGGTTAAGAAACACCCATTCAAGAAGACGTACAAGACAAACATGGGGGAACAGGTGAAGCAGGTCATGCAGCAAACAGTTGCGCTACCAACAGCTTGAAATACACAAACGGAAAATTGAGTTAAACCTGCGATACAGCAAGACAGCCTGGGGGGGCTTAGGTCAGATGACACATAAAGGGGAGGTAAAATGGGACGGGTTCATAGGAGTAGGTGACGTTGAGGGAGAGGGGGGTGGTCCGTGCTAGGCCCAACCCTGGGCCCATCCAGAGTCCAGAGTCACATGATGTTATTGTCTCCACTCAGTTAGCTAGAGTTCAGATTTTCATCCTCCTCAGCCAAATTGAGTTCCACGGCCGGGTCCAACACGGGTGATGGGGGTGGGAGCGAATCCATCTTTTGGTTGACATTGACAGAGAGAGCGAAAAGCACGTCCTGCTCCTCTGAAGGTCAGGAGCAGAAAATAAGGAAGAATTCAGACCAAAGCGTAGCAGTTCCACTGATATAGACCCCAAACTGAAGGATTTAAATGAGAAAAAAGAGGATTTAAAAGCATCCTATGTCTCATTTAACCCTCCTGCTGCCCTTGGGTCAGTGAACCACTGAGACCTCGTAGGTCATTTTGACCTAAAGGCAGCAGGAGGGTTTGAAGGTGTCTGGCTAAACATTACAAAAAACTAAAACCCAAGTGTTCTATGAAGGACATTACAGCTGCAGCACAAAAAATGTGAACATTGTGAAAGTTACATTTTTTTGTCAGTTCAGAAAGTGGAACTTGTACATTATAGTTTCATTACATGTAGAGTGAAATAATAAAACCTATCATTACTTGTAATTTTAATGATTATGGCTCACAAATAACGCAAAAACAAATTTCAGTCTCTCAGAAAGTTGGGTACGTTTAGCAGGCAAAAATAATGCATTATTGTTGGATTTTTGAGTAAGTAAAAAAACAATAAATTATACTTTAGTTACACTTTGTAACTTATCCTCCACATCCAGGGTGCAGGGACCACCGAGTCTACCCTGACAGAAATCTTTGCTTCCAGATCCAACAAACAGATCAAGGCCTTTTCTGACGTCTACCTGGAAGGTAAACGGCTCCCATTCTAAAAAAAAAAAAAAAAAAAAAAAACTTCACATAACAGCAGCAACTGTTATGAAATAACCGACAGTGCTGCTAAATTTCTTGAGAAATTGCCGCTTGCAGTGAAGCTCAGTGTGTTGTTCTGCTTTACTGTAGAAACTGGAAGACAGCTGGTCCATGATCTGAAGTCGGAGGTGTCTGGAGACTACGGCAAAGCTCTGCTCATCTTGGCTGAGGTAGTGTGCGTTCAAAAGGAAACAATGCTGTGATGCAGCATTCCTCAAAACTGGATGCAAATGTGTAGCAGGAGATGAAATGCCAAAAGGTCTAACCAGCTAACATATCTTTAAAAACATAACTGACTGAACAAGGCCACTGGACTAGTCCAAACTGGGTCACGACTTAAAAAACCCACAGACATTCACAGTACACATAATTATGTTACCATCTAATGAGGACATCTTTGAGGACCTATCAGTGTTATTTTTTTGTGACTGATAGTTGAACAGGGCAGCGTCAACAGGAATTAAAATGAATTTTTGTTCTCATCTTCACAGGGAAAGCGAGACGAGAGCACCAACGTGGACGCTGCCAAAGCTAAAGCTGACGCAAAGGTCTTTTTTTTTCTTTCACATTTAAATAAATGATGCGGTCGATTAATGTCTATTTTTTTATGGCTTGTGTTGTTGTTGCTTAAATATTAATTTGACTACATTCTGGCTTGTTTTCCTGTGTGTATATTTATGGCACACAGGCGTTGTACGAAGCAGGAGAGAAGAAGTGGGGAACCGATGAGCAGAAGTTCATCGACATCCTTTGCCACAGGAGTGTCCCGCAGCTTCGGCAGAGTGAGTTCAACTTTTGTATTTATTTTTAGGCAAAGATGATCAATCTTCTGTACTAAAGAGGGGAGGGACCATCTGGCTTGTGTTCAGCACACAAATGCCTGCCTCTCTGATGGCATGGGGGTGCATTAGCACCTAAAGCAAGGGCGTCCAAGCTGGTCTTTGAGCATCACTGTCCTGTCTGCTCCAACACACTTGATTTGAATGAATAGGCGATTAATTCATTTCTGCAGAACTTAAGAGATAATTAAATTAATAAATCAGGTGTGTTGAAGCAGATTTTGCAATAATTTGTTCTAATTGTTTTGGGCAGCTCTTGTGGAGTACAAAACCATTAGCAAGAAAACTCTGCAGGAAAGCATCGAAAGTGAGATGTCTGGAAACCTGGAGGAACTCTTAGTGGCTGTGGGTAAGAAAAACAAGCTCTGTGTTGTTTTTTATTCAATCATACGTCTTAAATTGATTTTTCTGAGACTCATTGTCGTATTTCTCTGCCTAGTCAAGTGTGTGAAGAACACTCCTGCATACCTGGCTGAGAGGCTTCACAAGAGCATGAAGGTAAAATGAATCATTTGTCATGAAGCAGCCCCAAACTAGCAGCTAACAAATAAAATCCACATATTGTTCAGTTAATTCACAGGCCTCGGTCCACATCCGACTGCACAGGTCAGCAGTCATGTGGWAAGGAATGTTAAGCCACGTTTTTGTTATTTCGACTGTCAGTACCTCAGTAACACGACTGTACGCAGTTAAACTGTAAGAAAAAGCTCTCAGTGGCTGGAAAACGTGTAATCGTGTAATTTAATCTGAATAATCTGATCATTTTCCAGGGCGCAGGAACCACAGAGTCCATTCTGACGAGGATTATCGTCAGTCGATCTGAGGTCGATTTATTGGACATCAGAGCAGAGTACAAGAAGCTGTWTGGATGTTCGCTCTACTCCCAGTTAGAGGTCAGTGCACGAGGACCAGGATTCCATTTAATGAGGAAAAATAACCATTTCTGCTAACATAAGAGTGCTGAAATTAGCTGAACAAATTCAATGATTTGAATAGTTCCAGGATAAAAA